AGCTCGTAGATGAGGATAAATAACATAGTTATGTATAATATATTACATTTCTGACTGTATATCCCTGTAATTATTACACACTGTAACTTTAAACACATCTGTTATGCCTGCATTCAAAAGCCAAAAGTCTAGAGTCATCCAGGTTTTTATGTCTTCAAGACATGCCTGCACTCTAAAAAGAACATGCAGCTCCACTTTGAATGAATCGCTTCAATTTGTAACAAGTAATTGAATCAAGTAGATCCAACTTGGTTTGTTAAGTTTATGAGTTGAAAACCAATAAAAGAAGTTGGGCGAACCTGTTCAATTTGAAGTAAATTATTTAAGATAGAGCAGCATTTTTATTTAAAGCGTGCATAGGTGTTTTTCATGAAGATTTATGGACAGATATAGTTGAGCATCATCAGCATATAATTCTACCATTTGGGAGGTTATTTATAGTAGGAGAATTGTTCCTCATTGATATATGATCTACTGAATGGTACTGATGGCTTTACTAAAAGCCAATCACATTCAAACAAAATGTAGGAATACTTATTAAGAGTGTTGAAGGTTGTCTACTTAGATTGCATGTGCAAATTTATAAAAACTCCAAAAGTGGTACAGTCCGCTCCATTATGTGTGCAGAGAGAATTTATTTCGTGCAACCCAAAAGCTGCTGCAATTGCGCTGACACCAACTGCAATATAATCCCACCTACAATGAAATACCAGCCAGTTAAAACAAAGATCTAGTAAGTAAGGACAGCTTGAACAGCAACATGGTGAAATGGGAAATTACTTGAGGCATTTAATGAAGCATTGTTCCTGATCAGCAAATGTTAAGGAAAAGGCAGCAAGCATTGTTTCACTTTTAAAGTCCGTCAGTAAACCACAAAACAGGCTTAAATTGGAAGGCAACCGGATTTTCTCTCAGTTTTTTTTTTTAGGACATTTCAGCACCTATCCAGGAGTCTTCGTCAAATCTTATTGGTTCTCAGCAGGGCTTCGGTCTGACAAAGCCTGCTGGATAGGTGTCAAAAATCTCTGAAAAGTGAGCGAAAGTCCGGTTGCCTTCCAACTTAAGCCTGTTTTGTGGTTGCCATGAACCGGATGAATGAGAATCCAAAACCAATGTCAAAGCCCACACTTTGCATAGGTTGAACAACAATAAAAACAATTATCTTGGTTGTGAGTGAAGTTGTGTCCTTTCATAGTTGCAGAAGCAGCTTAGTGTATTTTAAACATAAAAGAGAGGAGGGTTAAAATGAAGCATGTTTTTTATCAAACATATTTGATCAGACTCTTCATTAATATTTAAAGGCCATGCACGCTGCCTCCAGTATAGTTTATTACTAGTGTTGCACCGATACCAGTATCGGTCCTGATCCAGCATTAAATGGTGGTATCTGTATCGGTGAGTACCAACAAATAGGGCACTGATACCATTTTGAGAGCCAAAAGTTTATACAACTATTGTCACCCATTCCAGGTAGGAAATAAAAAGTTCTACTGGATTCACTTTGTATTAGTCTTTTTCCTGCTTCAAAAAGGTAGGCAGCAGCTTGACAAAGCCATTATGGTAATTATTTTACATCCAAGTAGAATGGAGTTCTTTATATAAACACACACATCAATTTCAAACAGATGGTATCGGCCAATACTGCACAGCCGGGTATCGGGGCCAAAAAATGGCATCGGAGCAACACTAGTTATTACCACTTGCTTTCAGAATAAATTAAGCAATGCAAGCTCTCTTCATGCTAAACAGAAGGAATCAATGTTCTTGTAACAAAAGAAGGAAGAACTGTTTGTTACTTTTGTACCAACAAACAACCAGAAGCTCTGGTTTATAACTGTGGTGTTGAGCTGCTCCTGCCATCGACAGCAGGCTCTGCTTCATCTTTTATATTTTCCAAGGCTCCTTTTTTGGTTTTGGAAATAAAATGAACTGTGTTTCATCCTCTAAATATAATGTGTCTCTGAATAGCATCTTTTCAGCTGACAACAATTATCCTTTTATTACTTTTAAATGAAATTCCCATGCTTACGCATTCACAAATGGCCAATATGGTCGCTTTGTGAGGATGAGACTGGTAGAGGAAAAAAGAAAGGACATTCTTTGTGTGAATAAAACAAATAATATTAACTTCAAGTTCAGATTGGTGTGCAAACATTGAAAAGTAGCCTATCTTGCAACCAACTATCGCAACCAGTTAAGGTTTATTTCAAATCATGAGAGCAACATCACTCATAAACATCTATAACATCATTTGATCAGATGCATAATTTATTCAACCCTGTCTTAAAGGTGATAATAAAGTATATACTTTATAAAAAGCTGAAGCTAGGAATCAGATGTTGCTTGGAGGTGGCAACTGCATATCGACAACATTTTATGTTTGTTTCTCTTATGCTCATCGTTCCAAATGCATAGCATGAGTAACAAGAAGTAAAAGTAGCAGCTTAGACATAGATAGAAAAGCTACTTATTTTATTACATAATTTTCACTCATCTTTAATTCTATTTGATTCAGTTTATTTATATGCCGCCGATTCACAACACATGTAATCTGAAGGCACTTTACAGAGACAATTCAACCAGATTATACAGACAGATTGATTGAAGGTTTTCAGATGTCAGTAGCAAAATACAATTTATTTCACAATTAGCAGGGGTTCAATCACAGG